TTTCTTCCTCTGTAAAATGACAGGGTTGGACTAGATGACCTCAGAGATCTCCTCCACCTCTAGGTTTTATGATCCTCTGACTCCAGACTGAGAGCTTAAAATCTGAGCCAGATGAGGGCTGACCCAGGGATTTACATGGGAAACTTTAGTCCCCTTCCCCCGCATCATCTTCTTTCCATCTTCTGACATCATCCTCTTGGCTTCCAGGTACCCCAGCGTCCACCTAGAAGCGATGAACCCGTCTGCTCTGAGCTAAAGATCTGGTCCCTTGCTAGGCCCCTTCACCGCCCCCACTGCTCGGCAGGATGAGGGTCTGGAAGGCTGTGGCCATCACAGGGGTCTTCATGAGTGTGGACGTGGGCATCACTACGGTGCTCTATGTCTTCAGTCATCGGGACCGGGGCGTGCTGCAGGACCTGAGAGACTTCAACATCTTCGACTCGGTGCTGGACCTCTGGGCCGCCTGCCTGTACCGGAGCTGCCTGCTTCTGGGGGCCACCATCGGTGTGGCCAAGAACAGCGCCTTGGGCCCCCGGCGGCTCAAAGCCGCCTGGACCTTCATCATCCTGGTGTGCCTCTTTGTGGGCATTTACACCATGGTGAAGATGCTCCTCTTCTCTGAGGTACGCAAGCCCATCCGGGACCCCTGGTTCTGGGGCCTCTTTGTCTGGACCTATGCCTCCATCGGGGCCACGTTCTTCCTCTGGTGGCTGCTATCCACCGTGCGTCCGGGCCACACGGTGCTGGAGCCAGGGGCACCGGGCGAGGGTGTGGGCTACCCCACAGAGGGGCAGCCAAAGCAGGAGGAGACATCAGGGGCCACGCTGCAGAAACTACTGTCCTACACTAAGCCTGACCTGGCCTTCCTGGTAGCTGCCTCCTTTTTCTTGGTGGTGGCAGCTCTTGGTGAGTAAGAAAGGATGGGGGCATGCTGGGGTGCAAGGGATGGGGTCAAAAGCAGGAGTTCAACTGGGTAGTCCTCCTCATTGGAGAGAGAGAATAAGATCCTTCTAATAAAATATACAGTCGAGCAAAACCATTCCCTCATTGGCCACATCCAGATATGTTGTTCTGTACCCTGAGTCCCTCTCCGTTTTGCCAGGAGTGGGGTAGTACACTTCATCATGAGTCCTCTGCAGTCCTGTGTGGTTGGTCATTGTGTTGATCAGCGTTCTTAAATCTTTCAAAATTTTCATCTTTATAGTGTCTCTTTTTTTAAAATTCTATTTTTATTTTTTTTAATCAACAAAATCTACCTTCTCTCCATTCCACTCTGCTCCCTTCCCCTCCAAATGAGAAAGAAAAACAAAATACCTGTTACCAACATGTATCATCAAGCAAAACAAATTGGCCATATCCAAAAAAATTCATCTCATTCTGCACTCTGAGTCCTTCACCTCTGAATCAGGAGGTGAGGAGCACGTTTCATCATTAGCCCTCTGGAATCCTGGTTGGTCATTATGCTGATCAGAATGCCTAATTCTTTCAAAGTTGTTTGTCATAACCATATTATTGTCATTGTACATTGTATAAACTGTTCTGGTTCTGCTCACTTCAGTTTGTATCAGTTCATGTAAGTCTTCCGAGGTTTTTCTGAAACCATCCTCTTCGTTATTTTTTATAGCACAATAGTGTTTCATCACATTCATATACCATAACTTGTTTGGCCATTCCCCAGTAGATAGGCATTTTTTCAATTTCCAATTCCTTGCCACTACAAAAAAGAGCTGCTATAAATATTTTTGTGTATCCCTAGTTAGAGTTTGTTTTGCTTAGAATTAATCTCTCCCTTAATATACCCCCTCTTCCAATCTCCCCTTTTACCCTCTCCCCTTTCCCTCCAGTTTCCTTGTTGAGTGAAATGTCTTTCTCTACCCTGCCTTCTCTGTGTGTGTATGTGTATTCTTCCCTCCTTTGACCATTTCAGATGAGAGTGAGGTTCCAGTGTCAGCCACTCCCCACCCCACCCTCCTTCTTGTTTGTATAGATGTCTACTTTCAAACCATAATACTGTAGGATAAATTTCCCTAACCTTCCTTTCTGTTCCCCTATCCCCCAGTGTCTTCTTCCTCTCTCTTTCCATTCTTCTCTTAAGGTCACCAAGATATAACTACTCCCAGATAAGAAGTGATCCCAGATGATAATAAGGATCAGAAGGGACACGTGTGTCATCTCCTCATATTTGAATGTAAACAGTTTATCCTTGTTTAGTCTGTTATGAATGCTCACTCATATTTATCTTTTTATGTTTCTCTTGACTCTTGTGTTTGAACTTCAAAGTTTCTCTGCAGCTCTGGTCATCAGGAATGCTTGGAAGTCCTCTAATTCATTAAAGATCATTTTCCCTCCTGTTGCATTATACTGAGTTTTGCTGGGAAAGTTATTCTTGGCTGTAAGTCCAGATTCTTTGCTTTCTGGAATTACATATTACAGGCTCACTGTTCCTTAAACGTGGTGGCTGCTAAATCCTATGTGATCCTGACTATGACTTGTGTGATCCACAGTACATGAATTCTTTCTTCCTGGCTGCTTGCAGTATTTTTTCTTTGACCTAGGTGTTTTGGGTTTGAGCTATGATGTTCCTGGTAGTTTTCATTTGGGGGCTTCATTTCAGGAGGGGACTAGTAGATTCTATTTCCACTTTGCCCCCGGTTTTAAGAAGTCTGCACAGTTTTCTTTTAAGATTTCTTGAAATATCATGTCCAGGCTCTTTTTTTTTTTTGGTTATGACATTCAGAAAGTCCAATCATTCTTAAATTTTTTCTCTCCTTAATGTTTTCTTTTTTCTTTTCTTTCTTTCTTTTTTTTTTTTTTTTTTTGGTGAGGCAATCAGGTTTAAGTGACTTGCTCAGGGTCACACAGCTAGTAAGTGTCAAGTGTCTGAGGTTGGATTTGGACTCAGGTCCTCCTGACCCAAGGCCAGAGCTCTATCCACTGCGCCACTGAGCTGCCCCCCTTGATCTGTTTTCTAAGTCAGTTGTCTTTGCTATGAGATACCTTATATTTTCTTTTATTTTTTCAGCCTTTTGATTTTGTTTTAATATGTCTTCTTGTCTTATGGAGTCATTGGCTTTTATTTGGTCCATTCTGATATTCATTTAGTATTTTATTTTTCCACAGTTATATCTAAAAACAATTTTTAACATTCATTTTAAAAACTTTGAATTCCAAATTATCTCCTTTTCTCCTTCCCCACCTCACCCCATTGAGAAAGCAAGCAATTTGATATAAGTTATACATGTGTAGTCATGCGAAACACTTCCATATTAGTCATGTTATGAAAGAAAACATAGACCCCCCCCCAAAAAAAAACCTTCAAGAAAAAGAAAGTAAAAAAAAATATGCTTTAGTCTGTATTCAGATACCATCAGTTCTTTCTATGGGGATGGATAGCATTTTTTCATCATAAGTCCTGTAGAATTGTCTTGGATCGTTGCATTGCTGAGAAAAGTTAAGTCATTCATAGTTGATCATCTTACAATATTTCTGTTACTTTGGACACAGTACATTTCACTTTGCATCAGCTCATGTACATCTTTCTGAGTTTTTCTGAGAGCATCCTGCTCATCATTTTTTATAACACAATAGTATTCCATCGTAATCTTTTTGTTCAGCCATTCCCCAATTGATGGGCACCTTCTCAATTTCCAATTCTTTGCCACTGGAAAAGAGCTGCTATAAATATTTTTGAACATATAGGTCCTTTTCCTTTTTGTTTTTTATCTCTTTTGGGATACAGCCCAAGTAGTGGTATTGCTAGATATGCATGGTATGCACTGCCCTTTGGGCAGTTCCAGATTGCTCTATGAAGTGGTTAAATTGGTTCACAACTCCACCAACTTTTCCCACATCCCCTCCAACAATTTGTCATTTTCCTTTTCTGTCCTATTAGCCAGCCTAATAGGTATGAGGTAATACCTCAGAATTGTTTTAATTTGCATTTCTCCAATCAATAGTGAGTTAGAGCATTTTTTCTTATGGCTATAGATAGCTTTGATTACTTCATCTGAAAACTGGTCATATCTTTTGATCATTTATCAATTGGGGAATGACTCTTATCTTTATAAATTTTACTCAGTTCTTTATATGTTTGAGAAATGAGGCCTTTATCAGAGAAACTAGCTTCAAAATTTTTCAGTTACTTTTGCTTTTGTACTATTGCATATATTGTACAATATTGTATTGTGCATATTGTACAAATACAAATACTACTGTATTACCCTCCATCTTATTCCCCCCCATTTGTTCTATTTTTTTCTCTCCTTACACTGTCCCACCTCAAAAGTGTTTTGCTTCTGACTATTCCCTCCCCCAATCTGCCCTCCCTTCTATCATCCCACCCCCATCTCTTATCCCCTTTCTCTCTTACTTTCCTAGAGTAAGATAGATTTCTGTACCCAATTGAGTGTGTATGTAATTCCCTCTTTGAGCCAATTCTAATGAGATTAAGGTTCACTTGTTCCGCCTCACCAACTGTATAAACTTTTTCTTGCCTCTTTTATGCGAGATAATTTACCCCATTCTATCTCTCCCTTTCCTTTTCTCCCAGTACATGCCTCTCTCACCCCTTAATTTTATTTTTTTAGATATCATCCCTTCATATTCAATTCACACCTTTGCCCTCTGTCTATATATTACTACTTCTAACTGAACTAATAATGAGAAAGTTCTTATGAGTTGTAAGTATCATCTTCCCATGTAGGAATGTAGACAGTTTCACCTTATTAAGTCCCTTATGATTTCCCTTTCCTGTTTACCTTTTTATTCTTCTCTTGAGTCTTGTATTTGAAAGTCAAATTCTATTCAGCTCTGGTATTTTCATCAAGAATGCTTGAAAATCTTCTATTTCATTGAATATCCATTTTCCCCCCTGAAGGATTATACTCAGTTTTGCTGGGTAGATGATTCTTGATTGCAATCCTAGCTCCTTTGTTCTTCAGAATATCATATTCCAAGCCCTCTGATCCTTTAATGTAGAAGCTGCTAAATCTTGTGTTATCCTAACTATGACTCCATGATTCTTGAATTGTTTCTTTCTGGCTGCTTGTGGTATTTTCTCCTTGATCTGGGAGGTCTGGAATTTGGGTAAAATATTCCTGACAGTTTTTATTTGGTGATATCTTTCAGGAGGTGCTAGGTGGATTCTTTCAATTTCTATTTTACCCTCCGGTTCTAGAATATCAGGGCAGTTTTCCTTGATACTTTCTTGAAAGATGATGTCCAGGTTCTTTTTTTGACCATGGCTTTCGGGTAGTCCAATAATTTGTTTTTAGTCCAATAATTTTTAAATTATCTCTCCTGGATCTATTTTCCAGGTCAGTTGTTTTTCCATGAAGATATTTCACATTGTCATTTTTTTTATTCTTTTGGTTTTGTTTTATTGTTTCTTGATTTCTCACAAATTCATTAGTTTCTATTTGCTCAATTCTAATTTTTAAGGAATATTTTCTTCAGTGAGATTTTGGACCTTCTTTTCCATTTGGTCAATTCTACTTTTTAAGGAGTTTTTTTCTTCAGTTAATTTTTTTGTGCCTCTTTTTCCATTTGGCCAATTCTTCTTTTTTAAGGCATTCTTCTCCTCGTTGATTTTTTTGTATCTCTTTTACCATTTGGCCTAGTCTGTTTTTTAAGGTGTTATTTTTAACACCTTAACACCTTATAAGGTATTATTTTTTTTCCAGTATTTTTTTGTGTCTCCTTTACCAAGCTGTTGACTCGTTTTTCATGATTTCTTGCATCACTCTCATTTCTCTTTCCAATTTTTCCTCTACCTCTCTTACTTGATTTTCAAAATCCTTTTTGAACCTTTCTATGGCTTGAGACCAATTCATATTTTTCTAGGAGGCTTTGGATGTAGGAGCTTTGACTTGGTTATCTTCTTCTGAGTATGTATTTTGGTGTTCCTT